AAAAGAAAAGAAAAGAAAAAGAAAAGAAAAGAAAAAGAAAAAAAAAAAGAAAAAAAAAAAAAACAATTTCCCCCCAAACTTACCCTCAAACCGTGCTGCATACTGATTTGAAATTCCACTCAGAAGGGACGCCGCTTGCATTCTTCAGAAGGAATCCTTCGATCGCGGTTCCTCCCGCCCATGTTCATCGTTGAAACACATCAGCCCTAATATCTCGTATTCCTGGGATCGAAGCGGCTGAATACGACGCGAAGGGTGATTAGTTGCAGTAGTAGAGACACGACCATAGTGGTCGTACTTTTGATTACCTCTGATAAAACGCCGGGAACAGTAGAGACGGCCATTACTCTGCCAAGAAGATAAGTTAAGTTCCCATATACTGGTTTTCTGAGTGATCCAGGACTAGAATAGATTTCCAATGTACGGAGTAATGATGTAAGTAGGATATTGAAAGCGAAATCAATTCCCGTGACTAGACCAATTCCGGATGTAGACTAGCGAGTTCTACCGCGATGGGGTTGAGTGCCTCAGGCTCCTAGGACAACATCATCTCAATTTCCCTTTGTCCTCATCGCTTACTTAAACCACTTCTTAGCACCTGTGCGCAGGTCCATGAGTTGATACCTGAATCTCGTGGTAGCCATACTCTGCTCCCTGTCACGCCTTTTTTTTTTTTTTTTTTCTACTTATATTTTCTTGCGTTCATCCTGTCCATTCCCTACTATGGCTTAACCCCACCGATAGCGCGCCTCCGAGTTTCCCTCGATCCTCTTCTGTTTTCTTGTGAACTCTCCTCCCCTCCCTCCACCAACCCGCACTTGCATTTCTTCATGACGGCCCGGACCCCTAACAGGGCGACTGGTGCCCCAGAAAATGCAAATCCCACGGTTCGAGACCAAACGCTGCAGGATCAGGGGGAACGGAGTGAATCGCCCGCCTTACCAAGCCTGACCAACAAGAAACGCCCGCGATCCCAACCGGACAACACCTCCAGTCCTGCCTGCAATCAATGTCGCACGCGGAAGATTCGCTGTGACCGACAGCAACCAAAATGTTCCAACTGCCGCCGGGCGGACGTCGAATGTGACTTTGCCACTACCCCGAAGCGCGTCGACCGCACCAAACAACTGCTGAATGATTTCAACGGGGTCGTGGCCCGCCTAGACCGGGTGGACAATTCGCTGGCGAAGCTATCCGAGCAGCTGCAGCAACAGCAGCCATGTCGGTGCTCCCACTCCCCGGTCCCATCGCAGGTCGATAATCCTTGGGGAGCGCCCGAGCCCGCAGCCATCTACACCACATATACCCCAAAGAGCTCCACCTCGTGCCGATCCCCCCACCTGATGGACGTCGACAGTTCCGAAGACCGCGATCCGGACATTTCCCACGGCGATCTTGTCGACTTTGACCAGGGAGGCCAACGCCTGCTGGACTACCCAGCCGCATTGTCACTGTTTAAGAACCTGCAGCGACAGATTACCCGGTGCCTGACCAAGGATGTGCCGCAAGGGTCGGAATTGTGGCAAGTGGTCGCCCAGCAACCCGGGTTCAAAGAAAGTTTGGAATCTCAGCTGGAGCGGTTCCCCTTTGGTGGTCAATGTCACGAACCCGTCATCGTGAGTGATCACCGACCTATCAGTACACCGCCTCGCTACCTATTAGAGCTGTCCTTGGATGGCTTCCTTCGCCATATCAATATCCATACGCCCATTTTCAACGACTCCTCTCTAGAGAAAGCCATCGATACGCACTACCAGTCTCTATCGGCCGGAAACGGCGACGCATGGGCCCTGGTCTTTACCAACATCATTGTTCTAACGGTGGCCCTAGATGCCCGTGTCGCTCGTGCAACCGCCTCCCATCTAGTCAGCATGAACGACGATATGCTCCCCTCCTTTCTGAAGAATTGCGACCGAGCGTTAGCGGATTTGAACCGGTTTACTGGGCCATGTGTGATCAATGTTCAGGTGCTCTTGACTCTGGTAAGGACGGTCATTAACTCCCCTGAAGATGAAACACGAGGATGAAAAGACAACCAGCAGGCTAACCCTTGATGCACAGGCTCTCGTCGCTAGAGAATTCTATAGCAGCGTGGTTTTTGAAAAGGTCTGTCAGACATTGTGCCAAGTGGCCCGCTCCACGGGTCTTCATAGGGCTCACGGAGCACGAAGCATGAGATGGGAAACGATACCGGAACGTGAACGGCTGTTTTGGGTGGTCTACACCATGGATAAGCAGCGAGCCTTCCTGACAGGCCAACCCTGTGATCTATACTTATTCGACTCCGATATCCAATTGAGGAGCTGCGGGGAGCGTGCACCATTCCCGCTGCGGCTCAATGCTGCCTACGTACATATGATGACGATATGGGAACAGATTTTCATCAATCTCTATTCTTCCCGAGCTGTCCTCGCCGGCACGGCCGATCGAAGTCGCCAGGTGCAGCAGCTGTGGGGTTCATTGAATGAATGGAACATCAAATACCATGCGCTCCTGAGTTCACCCATCCTCGAGAAGATGACTGACCTAGCGCCCATGCAGCTCGAGTTGAAATACTGCTTCATGGTGAGCCAGGTCCTCGTACATCGCTGTGACCGCAATGCACGCTCCCAGCAGCGGTATCGGGAACCCGCCCGCAATTCTCTCAAGCTCATCGGTCAGGTCGCCGGGGATCACCGTGGCATCACGCTCGCGCGATGTGCCGTCCTAGCCAGGTTTGTTGTTCGCTCCCATCCAGGCTTCCATGAAGTCGCTGACTACCCCTAGGATGTTTCGAAACTATCCGCTCGTCGCTATCCATGATCTTTTCTCTTTCTGTTTGATAGACGGCGAGCCGGATAACACGGAGGACGGGCAACTCATCCATGAGACTCGCCGCCACCTCGAGCTCCTACACTATGCGGACTTTCCTCAAGCGTACTTTGCCCGACTCGAGGTTGGGTTGAAATGGTGTACCGACATGCTGGATACCATCAAGGACTGCTTATCCCGATCTGCGGCAGCCAGTGACTGGGGACCAATCGATGGCTCTTCCACCGGCCTCTCCGACCGCACCCCCCCCTCAGAATCTGAACTCTCGTCAATACCCCCGGACGCGTGGGCCTCGCTGAACCTCGCGATGGGCCGCGACGAGATGCTTTGCGGTCTCAGCCCTTCAGGACCCCCAGAAGGCCTATTAGACCCGGGATTCTCTGCCTTTGGATTGACCACGTCGTCTACAGGTGATAGTACCGTCCCAGCATTCGCTCATGGTGGTGATAACCCAGCAGTGACGATGCATCCATCAATGTGGGTACCGGCTGAAGTACCCTGTAGCTCCTCTGAACCCCTTTTCGACCCCGAATTTACCCGAAGTATAATGTCATGATACCACTTTTGATTTGACCACTATTCCTTATGTCACGGCCCGGGCGGCGTTTTTTTTTTTTTTCTTTTTTTTTTCTCCCATGCTCATCACTCTACTTCACACCCATTTTGCATGTTCTGTATATGAGTTATGATACCTAAGACCCTTTAGAGCGATGTCGATAACCTACTGCAAATTAAGTACAAATGTACAACAAAAGCATTGGCCGCTGCGGCCCGAATATGAGAATATATATACTTGCTTCAAGAATTAAATTAGTCATTACAATTTGCTTGTAGTAATTATTTAGTAAAAAATGTCCAAATTGTGTAAGATACAACTCGTTGGATTAAAAATAATATTCTATCACATTTTTCAGAAGTACACAACGAGATGTCGTCTTCTCAGCAGAGTACGTCCCTAGGGCTAGCTTCAGCTGAATGCCTGACACTTGAATTCATTTTCTTTCAATTTTTTGATTTCTTCTGCTGGCATTATCAACCCCGATCATAAAGGTAGAGGCGGCCGGATAGGCGGTAAAGTAACGACATAACTTCTTTTATTTCATTCATAAAATTATTATATTATGCTCATCACTAGTACTTCTTGGGGTCATATCAACATTTTGCAAACCAGACAATGCCAGTCTAAACTGATAAAGAAAAGACCCGAAACCGGGAAAGAGATAAAAATAAAAACACGACAGACAGGAGAGTTCGAAATAGCTGGCCACCAACCCAGCAGACAACTCTCATCTCTGGGAAGGCTCAGGTGTGCTTGCTATTCTTGGACCACGACCGAATCCGAGCACCATAGCGATAGAAGAGCACGGGAATTGGGATCATCGCAATGCTGATAAACCCGAGGGTACTCGACGCCCAGGCAACGCCAAGATTGTGATACATGAAAGGCCCAAAGAGGGGAAACCCGGCGCCAAAGAAGCTACGCACGAAGGTGTTGGCACCGATCGCACTGTTGGCGATGGTCGGGTACACGTCGACCAGGTAGTTCAGACACTGCACGAAGACCATGTACATGCCTGTCCCGACGGGGGCACTGCCGATGACCATGCCAGCCCAGTGGATATTGGGGTTGGATGTCCAGGCAAAGATGAAGAGTCCAACGGGCAGCAGACATCCTCCGGCGATCATGAGGGGCAGCCGTTGCTCGGGGACCACTGCCTTGTTCCCGTCGTAGTTGCGCCGCGTTTGGATGACCACAATGGCACAGCCGATCAGAATCCCGACCATCATGCCGATATACGGGAGGGCACTGATTCCCAAGGACCAGCCACGGACTTCGCGGAAGGCGATGGGGTACGAAACGAACACGAGGTATAAGATACCATAGATGAAAGCCTAGTGCGTTTGTCAGGACATGAGTGTGTCAATGTTTCCATAGCGGGTATCCTTACCTGGTAGATGGTGACCAGCAGAAGAATCGGCTCGGTAACCAAAAGCGCTGGGCACCGTTAGCATGTCCTGAATCGGACGAGGAAAAGCGCACTAACCAAATGGTCTAAGCAAGAAGATGACAAATATATCCTTGATTCCCTTTTGCTTCCCATCAAACACCGTGTGGACGTCCGGGTTGCCCGCCTTGCGGATGGCGGCAGCCTTGCTGCGCAGAATAGACCCGGCAAATGTCTCAGGCAGCCCAAAGATCACCAGCACTGTACATGACCCGCCCATGATGCAACTGAGCCACTGCGTGAACCGCCACCCCAGATAGCTTTCCACGATAAAGTTACCCATCAACGGGGCCAACACCGGACTGCCAAAGATCGTGCCGATGCAACATGCCATCGCCACACCACGTTGCGCGGGATTCCACATGTCCACCAACGAACCTCCGACAAGAGACAAGGGAGCCGCGCCAAAGACTCCCGTCAGGAACCGACCGATGAGAACCGTTTGCAGATTTTTCGCCACGGCCACGGGAATACAGAAGATGGTGAAAAGAGCCATGCCGATGACCATAGGCCACTTACGCCCGAATCGCTCGGATAAGGGACCCCATACGGGCGGACCAACAGTGTAACCCTATCCAGTCAGTATACCACACAGATGGGAAGAAAGGATGATAGTGCGACCTACCAACAGGAACAAGCTGATTCCAAGTGTCACGACTGTACTGCCGACATTGAACCGTTGCGCGATTTGGCCACTTCCACTGCTGAAGATACTACTGGCGATACATGTGCAGAGATTTCCATAGACCCAGATGGCTGTGACAAACGCCCGGTATCCGAAGGACCAGTTTTGGGGGTTCGCTGGATCATCTGGTCCATCCCAGGTGACTAGGTTCGGGTCCGTCTTGGGTTCGGCGTTTGAGGGAGCTTTCTGGCTTTCGATGTCGGTAGGCTCTGATGATAGTCGACTACCCGGGTGAGGGGAAGGTGTAGAGTCCGTAGAGACAACATTGGGTAACCCAGCTGCCGCCATTGGGGACGAATATGTGGAGGATGACAATTTTTAGAAGCGATCGGAAGAAGATCTTGGACTCGGGTCAAATATCGTTCAAGACCGGCGTATGACAAACAAATCAAAACAAAAGCAAGAAACACCAAATCAAGAAAAAAATAGATGAGCGGAAGGATTCAGTCCAGATTTAATCCTTCCCTATGACAAGAATAGCGTTTCTGATCCTATTCCTGCCTTTGTCTTGGCAACGGGTGGACAAGTCCTATATACTCCCATCAGAGCTGGCGATCGTCCCCTACACCGCGTACGTACGCGGTGCTCGGACGCCGTACCCCGAGCCATTAATCATCGGGCTTGTTGTTCCTTCGTCAGCATTGTAAGTTTTCCATCTCCACTTGTTCAGGGCCAGTTGTGCAATAGTAATCAAACTAATATTAAATTATGGACAGAGGAATTGATTCCTCATTTAGGGGTTCAACTGAATGATTGCGTCGCTCGATTTCCAACTTCCTGACAAAGGCCGCAAGGGCTTTTGTGAATCACGTGAGACTAACTGATCACCCTCATCCCTTAGTAATCAACCCAAGTAACAACCTCCTTCATATTTACAATTATTTGAGTTGAATAGTATTATTGTACAGCTGGGGGCTAATTGGATTAACATGAGTAGGGATAGCTTAATACCTCTCTACAAGACTTTGATGTTCCAAGTAAATTTGTGTTTCTCTAAATAGATGACGCTATAGTCATATCCGTAGCTATCCTGGCTTCAAACTGACAGGCAACTGCTATGGCATCTACAATTTTTCTCAATCTCTATCAGAGAGCTGCAATACGAGTGTCCAGACATTGTATCGAGATGGTAGAGATTGTCCAACTTGGTTGGGATGCCAAACTTGGGGTCGAACATCCCGCAAGGGGTTCCAGAATGCCAGGCATTGTGGTCTAGTTAGATGACTATACCTGAGAAAGGATAGTGTGACAGTAATCAATGTAGCTCTAGTAGTGCCATGGGAAATTGCAGATTACCAATCCTACATTACCAATCCAGCAAGGTTGCTCTAATCTGCACTAATTGAAGCAGGACGGATTTCTACCTCACTGGAACTGGTCCGTTTACCTCAGTCCCTGCTGGGGCATAAATTAAACTAAAGAGAAATATATTGTCTGAACTTTGTAACTAGATTATTCTATTCCTAATTCATTGACATGCAGATCATTACTACTTCCTGGAAATATCACACCACTTGTACTAGAGCTCACCGCTGATCAGTGCTAACAATTCCGACACGTCGCCTGAGGTCTCCAAAGACAAAACTGTGTCCTCGATTCTCTGCAGCCTCTCCGAGTCAATCACGGAGCTCGCCAGCTTGCGCCATTTCTCACGAATCTCCTCGTCCGTGATGGGGGGATCGAAACCTTTCGGCATGGCGACCACATCCTCCACAGACTCCCCATCGTTAAACTCGACCACGATACGTGCCCCGCAGAGATGACCCGGCTTATCGAACTCCGAGCTATGAACACAGGTTGTCTTGTCAATGAGGCTCCACACCGCATCACTATCCAAAGCATGAGGCTCGAACTGATCGAGCAACACTTGTCCATACACCAGCTGCGCGGCACCAATGTACGCCGCGTTCATCTGTCCACCTGTCGCAGTCAACGGCCGCTCCTCCGGGGCCCAACCGTCGTGTGCAAACACTGGCTCGGACAGAGAAACCGTAATGTGACGGATATTATGCAGCTGGTCAACGGCAAATCGGTCAGGGTATTTCCGCTGGAGCTTCTCGAGGGCCTCGATCTGTCCATGGCAGCCTCCGACACAGGCATGCAATTTCACGCGGATATTCGTCGTATGCCACTCCTTCCCTAAGCCAGTCGTTACCTCGGACGGCTTATACTGTGGACTCCGGCCGTTTCCTTGTGTGAACATGGTAAGAAAACCGCCATAGCTGCGGTCGAAGACTTTCTTGATTCCGACGTATCCGTCGCGAGCCAAGAGCGCGCCGAAGAGCCCGTTGCGAGCGGCGAACGCGTGCTGTACGCGCTTCACCATCCCTTCATACTGCGCTGCCATCAGCCCGCCCGCCTGTGTGCAGGCGATCCCGACTGCTGACTCGGCGTCATCAGGGGTAAGGCCCAAGAGCTTTGAGGAGGCAGCTGCCGCTGCTGGAGAGCCGAAGACCGGGCCTGAATGCCATCCCCGTGAAAGCAGATCTGCGCCGTACATAGCGGATCCGACTCGCGGTCCGGTTTCGAAGCCCACGATTAGGGCAACGAGGAAATCGAGTCCCGAGACGACGCTCTTCCTGTGTCCCTTGGACTGCACTTCCGCCGCGGCGAATAGTGCAGGCAAGAGGACACTGGCGGAGTGGAGCGGGGCGGCACTGTGGTAGTCATCTAGCTCTACGGCTTGGATGAATGAACCGTTGAGAATAGCCGCTGCTTGGGGACCGTACCGCTATGTATTATTAGCCGTTAATTCATTATTAGGGTATTGGATGGAATATACCCGGTTGTATCCTATGACACTACAATATCCTTCCGGTTCATAGTCATCGATAGCCTGGGCGGCTTGCTCGGACCACGGGACGTGAGATCCGACTAGGCCACAGGCGATGCCGTCGAGCAGCAGATGTTTGG